TCCCCACGCAGCAACCAGGAAACGACACCAGTAATCAAGCTCACACTGTCCGCTCCTCGAGCCTCGGAGCAGCGAGCCCCGCAACGTCCCGCCAACACGGCACCCAGACCCCACGCAGCATTCTCATCTGTTTGTCATTACTGGTGTCATTTTCTGGTTGCTAACAAACGCCATTGTAACACTCACTGATGTTCCGCTGTAACGGTGGTGGACTCATCAGAACAGAGTGGGCGAGCTGACCAATCAGAGCACAGTGGGCTCACAGGGAGGGTGGGGGCAGGAGCTCCAACAAGCCGTTTAGGACAGAGAGTGAATACACATACTATACAGAGATGCTGTATGAGAAACCAATGTGAGTTTGGAACATTGAACAATGTAAATCTATTCTAGTAGACCTCAACAATGGAATTATGATCAGTAGAAATGGCCAAGACATGGGACCTTTAACACTTGGAACCCCCAAGCTGAATCATCTCATTTGACCGCTAGCTGTATGGCTAACCATGCTAACGGCAACTAAATACAGTTAGCAAGAAGTGTTACAAGAAGTGTTCACACCTTCCTTTCACCAGTCAAATGTATTCCCTGTTATACCCATAAACAAACGTGTTGGTTAGTTAAATACAAGAAAGCATATGCTTCTTATATTTTGTTATATTTTCTAAATCAATTTTAACTCCTCTTTCTACAAAACATTGAATAATTGAAATTATATTGTGTGAAGTTAGTGTGCATGTGGTTGCTACACTGCAACAGCTTCAGCTCATAAGTAGACATTTTCAGATGTACTAAGAAAACAGGTGGAGATGAAGGTTTTTGTCTGGAAGACAGATGATTAAGAGAGATTTCCATGTGTATCCAGTGAAAGCTATTCACTTTGTCTTTTCAGACTGACAACATAAATGGCCCCATCCCACCAGCAATATTGGCTTTTAAAAATTACAGCCTGCCATTGATCCAACAGCAATGTGTGTCAGAAAAATATAAGACAGTGAGGTGAGATATGTCCAAAGTGAGGAGAAAAACAGAGCAGTGGTATATTGTACATATCAAGACAGGATTTTACGCCAAAGAGATTACTTACTGATTTAAATGTGACAGAATTGATTTTCCAATTTTCACTGGATTGCTTTCTGCCTCCCTGTGGTAGGTGAGGTGTCTGTCCAAACACACTAAGAGCTCGACCTGAATAATGTCTGTGGAATTTGGACAAGTGAGGTGCAACGTTCGGGCATCTCTCACGTTGTCTGTCTTCTCCCTCTGCTTCCTCTTTGTATTGTTGTGTCAACCTCCCTGTCACACATGTGCTGGATTAGCTGTTTTTACTATACCGTGCATGGCAGATGGAATCGATGGGTGTCATGCCAGAGCCATATTTATGAGAATGTGCTGAAGTGGCTGGGTTTAAATCTCTCCAGACCTAGAGAAGGACAGTTTAAAACGTATGCCTTCTGCACTTCCATCTGGCTCTGCTGACTGCCTGTGCTTCTGAAGAGGTCCAACTTTTTCTCTGTTTTTTTTGCTGCATTGCGGATTGACTATTGCTTAAATCCCTGAGGAATTTTCCAAAAAATCCGCAACACTAATAAGTTATTGCAATGACGGGGATGAGGGGAATATATATTATACAGCTCTTAGGTGGCCACATCTCCAATCATATAAATACCAAAGAGAGGTGGAATCACAGGCATGGATTAGTCATGCTGTATCTGTTACCTATTTAATCGAGAGAAAAAAACCGGCCATATTGGATTTGACTTCTTGGCTCTGATATGAAAGATACAAATCATACAAATCCTTCAAGAAGGACATTTTGACATGAAGATTTGTGTGAGTTGCTGTAGAACACAAATGAGTTTGCACAGCAGAGGAAAAATAAGAATAAAACACTGAAGTCTGGGAGGTCCGTCACAGCAGTGATTCTTGAGTGAAAAAACGTAAAATCAACATGAAAAGCCTCAGCTATCAAATGCTTCTAATGGTTTTCTATAACTTAGAATATGTTTGCGCTTTTGCACTGACACTACTACAACATTGTCAGACTTATGATGGGCATTGGAAAGAAGGGTCAACGTGTTTTTGACTAACTTCACGCTCAATTTATTCATATTTTTAAACCTTTCAAGCCCAACCAGCGCTAGGTCAGATCACTGTAGGCAAGTAATCAGACATTACACAGCTCCCTCTAGAGCCCAGAACAGCATAGATAACTTTTAATATGCCTGAAGAGCTGTAAACAGCTGTGTCAAATCAGTGGAGAATCACTTTACAGCCTCATCCAATGCATCAAATGCTGGTCTCAAACAAACGTCTTCAACACGTCAAACAGTTAACCCTTGTATGGTGTTCGTGGTGTTTTCATTATTTAGCTAAAGAAAAATGATATGATAAATTATTTGTTCAAACTCACACTCAATGGCCTTGGCTCATTTTCTGTGAAGAACAGAACACATTTTCAATGACCACCCACTGTACACCCCCCCTACACATGTATATTACATACAGAATGTTTGGGTCCTGGACCCAGGGCGTGTGTGTGTGTGTGTGTGTGTGTGTGTGTGTGTGTGTGTGTGTGTGTGTGTGTGTGTGTGTGTGTGTGTGTGTGTGTGTGTGTGTGTGTGTGTGTGTGTGTGTGTGTGTGTGTGTGTTTCTGCCCCTGCCATTCCAGCACAAGGTTGCAACATTGTTGATACATTCAAGCATGGACACCTGTCTGCTCTCACATTCCCGCATTATGTCTTACGGCAACCAATGTTATTTTTTTCATACTCTATCCCAGCTGCACATTTGGGGCAAGACACAATAAATAAAGCTTCGCCAGTTTGGGTCCTTATCACAGCTGATCAAGATGGCCAAACGATTCTCTGCTCAGAGGGCCTTGCAAATGATTTTGGAAGAGAGATAACCATTTGATGATGATGTAGAGGAAGAGGAAGAGGTTTCAGAATGTGAGGATCACATTTCTGAGAATTCTGAGTCTGACAGTGACTTTGAAGAAGAGGATGAGATTGAGCATCAGCTAGTTACAAAAAAATGACGAGCCACAGGACCAGCCGGTCAGCGGGCAAAAATCCAGTAGCACTTTAATTCATTAATGTGATCTAACAAATATTAACCATATATGCTGTTTTGCTTGTAATTGGGATGAAGTAAACATCTGTTGAGTATTTTAACATAAAATAGTTTGATTGTGTTGAATTGAAGCCCAAAAAGGCAGCGGGTCCACCAGACCCATGAACACTGGCTGAGTAACAAAAATATGAACACCACACAAGGGTTAAACCATTCCATATCTGTGCATCAAAACAGATGCAAATCTGACAGGCACAGGTGTTAGCAGTCATGTCCAGACCGCTCCCAATAAAATGTAGTTCAAATAATGTGCCTGGACAAACCCAGTGCATATGCCACCTAATGTGCTTATTAAATCAACAAAGTAAGTACAATAATGAAACTTGACCTCCAATTTTATTCTCCTGATTTATAAAGATAACTGACTCTGGACTTAGGTCTTGGTGACTCTGAAGGACTTACTAATAACTTCAAGAGTTTATCGTCTATGGAGAATAAAGTGATAGGAATAATCTGCTTGTTCTAGAGATTTATTGAGGTCACAAACAGGCTGACAATTTGGCTCTGTGCCTTCTTAAAAAAGCAGTTAACTGCATATTCCAACTCCAGACTGTTCGTGATTGTAATACATTTAGGATGCAGTTGGGCGGACAAGTGCTGTTTTTGTGTTTCTATTTTCTCTTCATTTATCGTTTGAAATATCCTGGAATTGATAAGCTCCAAAAGACTCATACAATCTCTCCACACAAAACCAGCAGCGACAGTGCTCACTGCATTGATTACATCTAATTTCACCGTACTTTTAATCAATTACGCCTCTATTAAACAGTTTACTGTAGCTTGGGGAACGGCTCGTCAGGGCGGTTAGACGCCCTGGTTCGAGCAGTTCCGGATGGGAGGTTTTCAGCCAGGCTTGTTGGACACTACCAGAGCCGGCGGATGAGTGTGTATCACCTCAATTAAACTATGCGCTAAGTGTCTGACAACAGCTAATATTCCTCTTCCACCAGCGAAGCCAATCGATGTTCTGGCTTTCGTCACACTGCTGAAAAAGCAATCATCTCGTTGTCTCGCTCCCGTAAGACGGAGAAATTGAGAGACACTCATCTGGCTTCTGCGGATGCTTATTGGAATGCACCAGCGCTTTTTCTCTCAAAGACACACACATAAAGTGGAGAATACCACACACACACACACACAAACTGTAGATACACACTAATGGCGCATTTCCACTACAGCGCGGAGCTCGCTTTAAGCGCGTTTTTGGTTGTGTTTCCACTTGGCGTAGTTCCGGCTAGCGGGTACTATTTCACAGTTTTTCTGGCCCCATAAAATCGAGGTTCTTTACAACCAGGCTGAGTCGGGCTGAGTATGCTAAACTAGAGAGAGAATCGCTGGCAAGGGGGCTACAACTACAACAAAATGAACATATTTGACCGTGATTGAATTGTAATACACGTTTCAAAATGATGCAGAAGTAACAACATACTGATACCGGTTAGTAAAAACCATGAATTAATGCATTGACAGACGGCGGGCCAAAAACCTTTTAAAATGCGTGTTTTCTAAATGGAGATCGACTAAGCTAACGCAGTATATGCTCCGACCGTCCACACTCACAACAACGGCCTATACAGACATAAATAAACCAGCGACTGTATTCACCATGAGCCATACCGAGCGAGGCCGAGTTAGGCCCTGTAGTGGAAATGCGCCATAACTTCAGCCTGAAAGCATTAGTGATGTGTTGAGAAAGAGTGGATGTACCCAGAAGCTGCAGCTCAAAAATGGCAAGTGGCTTGTGACAAGAACCTGTCCAGCTGAGAGTCTCTCTGATGGTCCTTCTCCAAGTGGCACACTCAGAACAAAGCAACACAACATACACACCCACACACACAAATATGCTCACGTTTGCCAAGTCTACCAACCTCTCTGTCAAGTAACGTGTGGGAGATGACAGTGACGATGTCGCCTCGTTCTGGATTGATGTAGAACATGGTTGGGGAGGGCTTGTCCGGCGACTGCCTGACGATGTTGTAGCGCAACGCCGCGTTATCGGTGCCTGGGTCGTCAGCGTCAAACGCCGTCATTGTCATCACCGTGGTTCCTGGAGGAGACAGGAAAAGACAGTTTTGAGTCTGAGCTCACACTTACTTGTCATAGTGGATATGTGAGCGAGGATTCTAAAAGCTGGTGTTGTGAACTAAATATTTTAGGAATAAAACAACGTTTTTGAAGATACAGCAGGAGTTCATTTTTCTACTCTGAGATTGATTCATTTTTGTATTGTTCAAACGACACATGAAGGGAAAAAAAGCTCCTGAAATAAATCTCAGGAATGGAACTAATGGAACAGGTTAAAGTGTCACACTCCTTCAAAAAGTATGCTAATTTTGACATTTTGTATTTCAAAAGATTTACATCCCAAAGGTTATAGATGCATGTTTTAAACTAGAACAAATCCAATAATTTATGAACACATGTTCATGCTACCATGGTTTAGCCAAGACAATCAAAGTGAGGATGGGTTGTTGTTCTACATAATATTTAATATGTAATATACTATGTGGATACTAAACTAGAGGCATGGCCATATACATTGTGCCATGTAGATTGAAGACATCTTATTGGTAAAATGCTTTATATCTATATGCATGCCAGTGAAGATAAATCTAGTCAGTTCTGTCATGGGTTAAACATGGATGTGGGAAATTGTTATATGGGTGTACGCATGTATGTGTGTGTTTCTGCACAGTATGTGTGCACTGGACAGGTAAGAAGCTGCTGTTCTTAAAGATTGGAATATTAGATTTTTTGGGTCTGCTAGTGAGGTGGCCAAAGGGTGTATGTGTATCGTACACTTACACCGTTCAAGGAGCTTTGTTTTTGTTTGTTAGTCTAGGGAAAAACTATCAATCAATCAATCAAATGTTATTCAATTAGCCAAATATTACAAATTATACTTTTATCTCATGGGGCTTTACAGTTTGTACAGCATCAACACCCGCTAAACTTTGAGCCTTGCATCATGCAGAGAAAAAGAGAGCAACAGAGTAGCGCTTCTGAGCTATTTCCATGAAATTTGGTGGAAAGGTGTGGCATAGGCTAAAGTTCCAAAATATGTTTTTGAGCGGGTCAGAATTACGTGGCGGATACGCAAATGATGTTTCACACAGGGCATTTGTGCTGCAATTATGTTTTTTGGGAATAATGAGAAAAATTACTCTTTCACATGAACGTCCCCACAAGCCAGAACATCAACTATCAACATTTTGTTTAAAGGCTCTGAGTTATAAAATACAACAGATCTTCTTTGTAGCGTCCATGTTGTTTCCAAATAACGAATTATGGCTCATGAACACACCAAGTCAGAAGATCAACCTTTCAAATCGTGACATTTTAATCCATCTTTCTCTGCAGTTGAAAGGAAGGATGCACTATTTGATGTAGCCTATGATGGTTTAATGTTTGTCTTCGCAGAAATAAGTTATCTTTGCTGTGTTATCCTCAACATTTTCATTGAATATGAATGAGTAAGAACTATTACACATATATATTTGATCGAATCAAATTGTGTTTGGAGATGAGAGCAATCATGGCAGCAGATGTATGAGAAGCGCAATTTAGAACTACAGATAGCCGCTTTAAAAAGTGAGCCTTTCCCAATTATGTGTTTTCTCCCTCCTGTCAGCTCTAACAGCACGGTGCATTTTATTTGGTAATGGGAACAAAAATGGAAAACCTGCCTGCCGCAGCTGAGCTGAAATAGGAGGCAATCCTTGACACACACTCAACCATCCATCTCTCTCTCCTGTCAATCATGAGACACGCACATTCACCAGGACGCACTCAATCCTCACATACAGGGAAGTACAGACACAAGCGCAGGGATATATCCAAGGTTTCAGGCACACACTCTCACACACAGACCATGTAAGGTCGTTTCAATTCTGAGTAGTGTTTTTCATTGCGGGCAGAAGTGTCTATAAACTGCATCTCCATCCAGTACTTCATGGCCTTGATGTCACCAGCTTTCAGTCAGGCACCTCTGGTTAAAATATCACCGGCTGAATAACTGTTCAATTTGTCAAAGCTCTAAGTTTGGGGAGATATGTCACCGCAGTCTGATGAGACAATGTGTCTGGGACACAGATGGATAGGAAGTCTGGAAGTATTTGTGTGTTTGTGTGATATAAATTGAAATTGATGTATTTAACTGGTGTGGTGTCATTTTTTATTGGAAACTGTTAAGAACTATTATCAGTAGATAATACAGATGCACTGTAACTCTAAAATGCTTCTTCTTCTGCTTTCAGTAATTTCTATCTATATTGGAGCTGGTATTTTATTGTTAAAAGTCCTGCCTTAGTTACCTTATAAGACCCTGATACTTTTATTTTGTGAAAGGATTAAGCCCACTGAAGTTATGTGTTTTCTGGCAAGAAACCCCCTTGTGATTTCCTTCTTGACCCACATACTTAACAAAACATTTTCCTAAGCACCAAATAGCAGCACTGCGTAGCACGGCTCATAAACATCGATTTATTTTCATGCTTCGCCTTAATACCCCGCAGTACTTTGCCACAGTGCATTAGTCGAACCATTCAAATAAGACACAGAAAGGGCTACTGGAAATATGCAAAGTCTACGTTAAATAATGGTGGCTTAGATCCAAACATCTTTAGTCCAGTTGGAGGTAATGAGGGGCAGAGAGGTGTGGGTTTTATCCCCTTGGCATTTGCATTCCAAGGTGAACCATTAATGGTTAAGTAAACCAGTAATCCTTCCTCTGCAGAATAATTACAAAGTCCCATCTCCTTCATTACCGATACTCTGTTCCACTTCACACTTCTGAAGCCACACTCTTAAAGATGACTCAGTGAGGTTGCGCATAAACACACATGGTAGCACACACAGTTTTGCACAGTGACACACCAACCAGTGGCAAATTAGTGTTAAAACGGTGACTAAATTAGTTATCTTGAACAGATCTCAGTGAATTATGTTTCCATTGCACTGGCTAACCGAGGTTCCTTGAACGCAATGCAATCCTATTACATGTTTTATGGGATATCAGCCCTCTCAATCGTCACTGTCTTCATCAGATACCATAATTCCACTCACAAATGAGTATCATGTAGCCAATACAACAGGGCATCAGCAGTAATCATCTTACATGATAAACATCCAGCATTCTGTAATGGGACAATGGGGCTGGGTATAACAGCCACACTGATGTATGCCGTGATAAATCTTAACATGACATCATGGGGCCGGTCAAGGCTCAATCAATCCTAACTGCATTGGATGTTTAGATGGTGGGATGGATGTGAAAACACAGGACTGCCATTACCTCGCTATCACTTCCATCTGCCGTGCTGCTGGATGACACCAGCTCGGAGTCGGTGAAAAGCGATACAATAAAGATGGAGACGGCAGAGAGAGAGAGACTCCAAATCATCCAGTGATAATGAAATGATGTAATGTTCGGTGAAAAAAAAGAGAAAGAAAAGCAACAAAGAACCGGGCTATGAGGTAAAACATCAACGATCCAGACATTAAAAGACACGATGACTGACAGAAAACGCACACATACACATGTTTTGGATTGATTTCGTCACAGGGTGCTGTTGCCGATAGCTAACTCCAATATCTTTCTCAAACACCAAGGGAAATCAGCAGGGGCCATCACATATGTGGGTGCCACCAGGGAGCTGACACCGTGTGAAGAGCCAAGATGAGGCAAGAGACCATAGACAAGATTTTCTTTTAAAAAAGGGTAAATGTGATTCTAGTTCAGGTTCGAGGCTACAATGTGTGTGCACATATTGTATTTGTGTCACAGTGTATCGGCGTGAGGGTGAGTGATGGGAATTTTATTTTAAATGATTCAACATGTGCGATGGATGTTCCAAAAGCTGAAATGGGATTTATATTAATCAGACTCAAGTGAGTGAGAAAGAGTAAGAGCTGACCTGTTCTATTCTCAAGTGCGAATGAGATCAAAGGGAGTTCAGAAGTGAATCATCTCATCCACTAGCAATAGTGTGGAGATCGTACATGAAGATGACTTACAAGCACATAATCATAAGGAAAAGAAAGCAGTGGTAGCAGAAGTGGGGAGAGAAACAGAAATATAAAATAACAAATTAGTGTATACTAGAGACTACTGAATTTCCAACACTTTTTCAGGAGCTTAATGCTGCGTTCACACCGGACGCGATGCGAATATTCGCTTCGCTCTAATCGCTCCTAACGCATCGCTCTAAACGCTCAAGTTTCACCGCGGCTGCCAGCTGTGTTTATTCGCATCTTTCAAACAAGACGCCCTGGCTCGGGGGCTACAACTACAACAAAATGAACATATTTTACCGTGATTAAATTGTAATACACGTTTCTAAATGATGCCGAAGTAACAACATACTGATACCGGTTAGTAACAACCATGAATTAATGCTTTGACAAGTCTGCAGACAAGACGGCAGGCAAAAAACCTTTTAAAATGCTTGTTTTCTGAATGAAGATCGGGTCCACCAGGCTAAGCTAACGTTGTATATGCTCATTCCACACTCATATCAACGGCCTACAGACATAAATAAACCAGCGACTGTATTCACCATGACACAGACAGTCTGTGGTTTGTACTTGTTTAACTTTTGTCTAGTTTCTGAACAGATATGAGGAGCTGTGAGCTCTGTGTGCTAACTGCTAACAGCTAACGGCTGATGTTGTGTGGTTGAACGTCAGTGACGGCAGGCTGAGATCCTCACCGCTGATTGGCTTCCGCGAGAACGCGTCACGTGAATTTGACGCTCGAGTTGAAAAAATTGAACTCTCGCGTTTAATGCGGCACCGTTCAATCGCCTCAATCGCGTGATTCGCACCACGTCCACCGCTTCATGCCCCACCGTCGGAGCGAATTTGCGTCTGTCCGCGTCTCTGCATTGACGAGCCATATATTCTTTTTACACTTTTAGTATGTAGCCATATTAAGATTCTACATAATTGGATATATAATATTTGACAATGTGTAAAGTTTGTACAAGGTTATTTGTATGTAGAGGCATTTATGGATACCATAGTGTCAAATATGGGAGGAGGCTATAC